CCAAGAGGTGAAAGCTTTTTATCATTTTTGAGATTTTCTCGAGATGACGAATACATTCTTTCATCAGAATAATCGTACAGAAACAGAAACTCTAGATGTGCGCAGATTTATTTAATTTTTACTCACCATATTTTATGGCATGTTGGACGAGGGAATTGTAATTTTATTTTGAGATTGAGTGATAATTATTTATAATGTCACCATCGAATATCGGAATTTCTACAAGTGTGATTGATGAAATATTCTTGACAAAAGTCACTCGAGACACAAAAGGTGCAACAGGTGTAAGCTCTCGGTACATGCCCTTATTCGTCAGTCCCCAGGAGCACGTGTAGACGACAAAGAAAAAAAGACTCCTTGAAAGTCCTTCCGATTGTCGTCATACACCCATTATTTCACACACCAAACCACTAATTTTCGAGAGACAACTGGGATAACAGACTCAAGGCTCCTCCGAGGTCTCGCTAACGCAAAAATTCTCACGAATAATTTAAAGCATTGCCAACCCCTCATAAATAGATTAATTAATAACACGGTGGGATTAGCTGTTGGCACTCTCCCATGGAATTATCATCCGCATTTTCTATCCACGCACATGAGCAAATGCATTTATCAAATTGATGTGTTTTGTGGGTGTGAGGGTGTTGGTCATTAACACCGGTAAAGGAGACAAGTCACCTCAGTGCTGATGAGTACACGGGCTTTTCCCACAGTTCCGGTCTCTGACAATCATGGAAACCTAGCACTTCCTGTTGTACCTTCCGGTCTCTCCCTGTGCCCACACACCATTTTTTTTTGTAATACATCACTGTGAACGGACGAAACTATTAAATGATTGTAAATTTTTTCTGTTGACTCACATCTGGATAATTGGACAATTATCCATTGTCTTCTGAGTCGTTTTTTTTGTGGTCAAGAGCTGGGATAATGCGATTAAAAAATTACATCAGGAGAAGGAGTCGATTGTTGTTTGAAGGATTTTTCCATGAAAACTGACAATTGTCTTTGGTAATACTGTCTTGAAAGCGATTTATTTCTCGAACTGGAGAGCGAAGGGGCGTGCCCCGCGTGTCATTGGCGAGCGAAGGGAGCAAAGGGGCGTGGCCCGCCTGTGATTGGCGAGCGAAAGGAGCAAATGGGCGGAGCCTGAGATTTCCCTATCGCTTCGCGCACATCTCCAGCGAATGAGATGAATTGACGATCGTTGGAGCGCATGGAAATAATTCCCCTTTCATAAATATTTCGCGTTCTTAAGATATTCTGTTCAAAATGAATGCCATTTGGGAATCGATCATAGTTCGATGCATTCGGATATAAAACTCTGATGGGCATGTATAAATGGGCACACGAGTGAGCTTGAATGGACCAGCAGAATGTTATATGTATTGAAGAAAAGAGAAGACTTCTTGCGGGGGTAACGGTTATGTCCTGACCGTTATTATTCTCCGTGTTACGTGGGGACAATGGTGGCGTGTCCTCGCGAAAGAATGGAATAAGATGGAGTAAAATATTTTAGTGATTGATGGGGATGAACGTCGGGCATTATACCGATCGTGTGAATGATTCTGGTGCTATGTGAAGAAAAATAGTGGGAAAAAAAAAAATTATTGGATTGAGTATCTTGGGCTTGAAATATTGATCCCACCTCATCGAACAAGATACTGATCACCTACATCTGAACGCCAATTACTTCCAATGAAGCTCCTGGTATACCGACGCCAAGGGACTGTGTTCAATATCCTACGACTGAAATCGATAGTATTCATTGCGTAACGAGGCACTCACTGCAAATCAAATGAATAGTCAATAAAGCATTTCGCTTGCCTCATACACCTCATTTATCTCGACCTTTTTCCTGGAATTCCAGATGGCGGATACACCAGGAATTTTCAGGGGAATGAGAATGATAAGTTGAGGATATTTTTCAGCTATTGGCCACGCCGATTCAGTCAGTTTCTACAATTCTAAAAAAATATACGCACGATAAAAGTCAATTATAATATGCGAAATAATTTACATATTTTAATTGTCGCGGATATATTTCGCAATTGAAGGAAGGGGAGAGCGTTAACTGATACGAGAGATAAACGCCATATAAAATAGAAATAAAGGATAGTAGATATATTGTAAGAAACTGGTAACGCAATGTGGTATTGCTTGAGATACAGAGTAGAAAGTAAAGGATAATATAAAAATAATAAAGGAATGAAACGGCAATAAAAGTATTGGAGATTTCTAACATCAATGGATAAACTTGAATTGAATACCTCAAGTTATTTATTGCCATTGGAATTAAAATAGTGATATTAAAGAAGGAGTACCATTGGTACTCGGAGAGATTATTAAACCGAGAGGAAATCATTTATTCATTAATATATTTATATTCGTTAACGAGGAAAACGTGGAGCCAATACTCGGTGATTTCACATAGATATTTAATGAAGTGAGATTTAATTAATTTCTCAATTGATTAAAAACACATGTTTAACAAACACGTATATATCATATATCAAATTGACAGATTCATGATGATATTTTGAATATTACGAAAGAGGATATGTTTAAAAGATCTAACGTTTCATGCAAGACGATTCGAAAATTATTCCACTCGGTTGAAAAAGAAAACAAAAGTAATGCAAGAGTGAACGGCATGATTTCAATAATATTTTTACTCATGCGTGACAAGCATCGCGACAAGCATCTGTTGAACCCACCGTACATCCACGATATTATCCACATGGGTGGGGTCTCATTCCGCTGGTGTAGCATTATGTCAATAAATGAAACTCTAGCTGAACCAACATTAGATATGTATATCGGATTAAAATCATAGGCTCGAGAGTCATAAAACGATTATACGCGTTCATGTAGTGGGATAAAATTCCGAGTTGAAAAATATATGGGGGGGTATTGAATTGGGGTTACAGTACGATATACTTACAATGTTTGAGGCCAGTGAAAACGAGCAACCTCGTTGCTGAGGTCCAAGGTCATCGATTTATATACGCTTGCACATGCCTTTCCCCGCGGCAAGCATTTAAAACCACTAGACACTGATTGTTTCTCAGAAAAATTTACGGCAAAAAAAAATTTCCCATTCTCTCCTACTCGGCGTTTTCCGCAAGTTTTCAGGACTTATAGGCGTCAGGGGGGCCGAGCCCCCCCTTCGTCGTAACTCCGAATAGTTCATGTCGCATAGAATATTCATTATGTATTAATTGTAGTATGGGACTGAGGGCGTAACGTGAAGCTGTGGAAATTGAATAATAGGTTTTTCTCGGGTGTAATCATATTGTATTCGTGGAAATAGTTTCTTAATCCATGTTATTTACCGTCAATTCTGAAAGGCTGTCTCAGGAAGTACCGCGCCTAGTCTAGATTATAGTTAAGGAATGAAACATCACAACTAGGTGGGACAACGACTCCTTTGGAGTGCGTACACCGTCCGCTCCTTCACCAGTTAACGAGTTATTTGTTGCGGGAGTTGTTACCGTCTGACACACGCACATGCACATCGAGGCACACCAGGTCGCTGCTTCCTCATCCGGCGTATATCGTGCACAATAACTATTAATATTCAAACGGAGAAGAAAAAGGGTTCACATGTACCCTAGTATCATGACGAGATCCAATGAGGTGTACTTGGTAATTAGAGTGAGCATTGAACAATCGCGATTGGAGTTTCAATTGTCCAGGGTAACGAGAACGTGAGGTGAATATCAATGTCCGTTACGGGGCAAACCATTTGGATAGTATTAGGTGGCGCATCAATTTGTGCCGATTTTTCCCATTCCGGATCGATGTATTCTGGTCATTAAACATGAAGGGGCTAAATACAATGCTTACCGCTGTACCACCGAAGAATTAAAATACAATTGACAGTTAAGATCGGAGGATTTAATTTACAACACATCGGTATGAAAATGCCGTTTGGTAGTAAATTGCCGATTTATCACCCAAAATGTGTCTACAATATCGTAATAAAAGGAAATTACCCACTTATTTTCCTGGGAGAATCATTCCTTCGAGATTGTTCAGCATTTTGGAAATTTATGTCTGAATGTCATGTATAACATGACATGGGATCGTCGAAAAACGTTAATCTTCCCATTATAAAATTATAAATATTATAAAAATGATGGAACATTATAATGGCGTTAAATTTTTTAAAGTGTATTTTTAATTTTACGGCGCGCTATAAAAAAATCATCATAAAATCATATAATATACGACTTTTAAATTTAAAATACGATGTGATTGTACCGAATAGAACCAAGTGCTTGACCATTTTTTTAGAGGAAAAAAAATAACTGGAAGTCGTGCTGGTAATTAATTTAAAAGATAATTTGTGCTCAGGAAATATATCATCACACGGCAAACATTTTCAGCGTAATCAATTACCGTCGATTCGGTACAAAATACCCCGAGAAGTTATTAGCTAACTTGAAACCCGAGTTTTATGGGTTTATAACGGGTTAAGATTTGGTACGGCCTTTGGGAAGGACATACCATAGGCACTTTCGTGTGCCTTACCTCGGGCTAAAGGGGAATGCCGATAAATTTGGCACGAACGGAAAATACCGCTAGAGTTACAACATTCTCGGTATTTTTCCTTTTTCATTTCCATTGTTTTTTTTCTTCATTTCATTTGAAGTAATTATATAAACGTCTCGGAATTCCAATTTGAAGGGGACTGTTTCTTACATTTCGAAATACCCCCGACGCTTTTTCATTCAAATTCCACCGCGTAACTGATATTTTTACATTTTCTCAATTATCCACAAATTAAATTTTTAAAAAATGGTAAAAACGTCTCGTCCATAAAATCTGATTACGCGATGTCTAATTACCACATTAAATAATCAAATAAATAAAATAAATAAATCCAATGATTCTTTATAAACAATTTAACAATATTCTAATACTGTGAAGAGGAGAGGGGGGCGAGAGGTTAAAAATGGAAAAAAGGCTCGCCCATACAATCTGAAAACATGGATTACCTCTTTCATTCCATCGAGCCTCCCGAGGCTTTTAGTCCCTCTCAGTGGGAATGCAGGCTCACACCAGCTACCAGCACTAGGCGCCGTGGGACAGATCCTGGCCTCCCCGACATTCAGCCCCCTAGCCCGACTCTTGCTCTTCCTCTTATCCAACAAATGCTTTGCCCTCGACTTCCTAACAGTCGTGCCCCCATCATCCTCAGGATCACTCTGAACCTCCCACCTCGATGGCGATTTAAATCGCCTCCTGGAGCTCGTCGGAGACGTCACCGGAGACGTCAGCCTCTGCACCAAAGTCCCAAACATAGTCATCATTCGATTCGACAATCAGCACAACACAAAACACTTGGCGTGATTAATCACCAAAAATTACCCCCCAAAAAGTTCAGCGATATTGACAATTTCTGGGACCCTCATCCCGAGATCATCATCATCATCATCATCATTATCATCGTCACTGGAACAACTCACGACAATTCCAGATGCAATTCATTCGCGCGAACGATCAACTTCGCGAGTAGATGATTAACGCGCGTTACAATTCGCGATATTCGATGACAATAATCAACTCGTGTGTTTAATTGCTGTTCTTTTGGACTGAGTAATCGTCGAGCTGACGTGTCAGTTTGAAAAGACTGGTCCTGAATCACCTAAGTATTTGCCCCCGGGGCATCCACACACCACTAGCACTTGATACGCTCATAAAACTTTTGAGCAGTCGTCGCCACCCGATCCGGCGACGCCTCCAATTTATCAATTGAAAAAATGGAGGAAAAAGTATCCATGATAAGTGCAGCGGGCATACAATTAAAACACTTGTACGGACTCTATGTCTTTTTTTATTTTTCTTTTTTATCGGGAGATTGGAATACGCATTCCCCAGCGATGATGGACTCACTGCGTGCGGAATTCAACTAGCCGCGCTGAGATGGTCGCACACGACCGGTTGGCCTCGCTCTCACGGAGTGACACGACTCCGTCCGAGTGTTTCCGAGCCATTCCGTAAATGCACGAAGTCCCCACGACCATTGCCGAGAGTGAATGGAGGGTGTTATGGTTACCATAGCGATGGGGACTGCTCCCCTGGGGCCTCATCCGCCCTGGCATTCCACCTGCATCACTCTCTTTCTCTATTGGGCCTCTCGCTTGCTCTTGTTATCGCGTTCAACAGATTTTCAACGGTTTTGACGGATGACTAGTTGCTTTTTTGAGAAACACATGTGTCATTGAAATTTGATATGGCCATTGGGATGACCATGTGCCATCCTGGGAAATGCGAGGGGCATGGGAAGAAGTGGAATTGTAATCGGAATTCAGGGCAGTAGTTACAATACACTTTTTTTTATTTTTGGGGGCGAGAGGTCAACCTTTTTGAGGGCAGGAAAAAGTTCTTCAGATTTTCTTCCTTAAATCAATATTTTTTTTTAGAATAGTTAATGATCTAGACGGAATTTGCAAAAAGGACAATTTAGATTGTCGTCGGTGACTTTAATCAATATCTCGAAATTCAAGAAAGATATTGAAAATATCATGAGAACCTTTTCTCTAGAGCAAATTGAGATCTCCAATAAACTCCCAACACCAATTCGTCTATCTCCCTTAGATTCGGAGATACTCTCAATAACTAATCAAAACATTGATTCGATAAAGGCGTATTAAGGATGTTGCATAAAATATTGATAAATTACAGTTGAAGTGTAATTACTGATAACTCAATTGGCAAAAGGTCTCTTGACTACAAAAACACAAGGGACATTTAATACACTTGAATATGCGGAATTAGCTCATATCATACGAGCCATCAAGTTTAATTACAATTTTCGTTGAGGAACATTTTCCCGTGATCCGAAGTGGACTGATACGTGAGCCCCAGCATCTCCTTATTTGCAATCAGAGAAACATGCAGAACATGTAACGGTCTCTTCAATATGGGAGGAAGAGGGAGGGAGCGCCGATTCGATACCCGTATAATTCCCGTTTCCTAGTCATCGAACATCTAATTAATAGCGTACGTGATGCATTGGAATTTAACATTCACCTTTGATTTAATGACTCTATTCCATCAGCATACAGTGAGATTATTTTTTCCCCCTGATCTGTTCCGGAATTTTGGAGATGAATAAAAAAATCTACCATCGAACTGGCGTCATCCGATGAATTGAAAATACAAGAGTAAATAAATTGACTAATCCAAATGATTGAGTAAATGAGAATCGGATTAGATGGAAAATAAATGCTGATACGAGTGGACAGATGCCAGAAGACCTTCACCTGACGCTGCGTCAGGGATCAAATTAATATTCGAAATATCGGTTGAATAAATTAAAATTATTGGGCGATGGATGATTGATCGTTATCGATTGTTCGAGTCATGGGAGACGAGCAGTTAGAATTCGTCGGTTGATTAAAATATAATGTTGGATTCTCAAGTCATTAATCCATAATTAAGTTGTATAAATCATCCAAAACAAATGGAAATTCCTTTTTTTTTCTTTGCTCTCGATTAAAAAATTCGGTCTTCATTATTTTTCAGATTGATAATTATAACAATAATTTCCCAGGTAGAAGAATTCAATTATTTATATTAATTTATTTATAAAATGAAGTCTTCTGGGAAAACTTGATTTTTCTTCCGATTCTCAAATAATTTCAAATGATTTCAAATAATTTCAAATAATTTCAAATAATTTCAAATAATTTCAAGGCAATGACCAGATAAAAAAGTTCTGAAATTAATGAATTCTTAATAGTCTCGAAAGATAACGGAAATATTCCAGGGATTAAACGATTGATTACTAAAGAATGCCCGAAATTATCAGTAAAAACGAAGACTGAGTGCAATGATTATTGAATATTATTGTAAATTGAACAATACTTGAAAAAAATATTGAATTTCTCCGGATAGGGGGCCGATAGCTTATCGGGTCGGCGTTCCGGCGCCCTTTGTGCTATCAGTGCGACACATTTGTACGTACACCGAGGAAAAGGGGAAAAGAGTTGAAGAATAAAAAAATGGAAAAACGAGGGATTGAGTATGAAAGAACTCCAGTACTGCTCTCAGAGTTCCTACAGACTGACTCACGTACCGGTCCCTCACTCCCTCCATCTTCCTCAATTTCAACATTTTTTTTTTATTCCATACCCATTATGATTCTCTCTCAGTCATCTCCTCCTCCACCATCTACTCTCTCTTTCATTTCGTACCTCAAAGTCGTGAACGTGGGCGAGAAAACTGGTTGATAACCGTAGAATATCCTTGATCTTGAATATAATCACTCATGGAATTGTCGAGGGGTAGGACGACTCCCATGACTCCGAATTCCATCAATTTATCCATCCCCATCAGTAATTAATCATCAAAAAATCTACTAAAACATATAAAACATCCCTAAAATATGAATCAATCTCCAATCCTCACCAATTCGACTTTTATCAATTATTAATAAATTAATCAACATAACAATATGATTTATAATCGCCAGGGGCTCAATTAATCACTCAATTATTATCATATTATATTAATGATACATTAATTATCGAAATTAAATTCCTGATAGTTGATGTGAAAGGGAAGAGCATTTGTCGCATCAAAGGAAATTAATTGAATTGATCCAATGAAATCGGAAATAACGAATGAGAGGATAATGCGTCATATTATGAACGATGATACAACAAAACTGGAAATATTATTGAGTCGAGCTCGTGCCCACTGAAACAATCATGACTCCTTCCAGGTTCATTGAAACGTGATCGTCAACAATGACTAGAAACCCACGACAAAGAATGTCTTTATTTAGTGATTCCTTCCACGACGCAGTTCGAAAGTCAATGCTTTAAAGTAAAAAATAACTATTTTAAATTCACCTCACAGTTAAAAAAACTACTGTCAGTTTATCTCCCTAGTGTAGAACATTCACACTATAAAATCCCTTCACCTTAAAACAATGGATAATTCAGTTATTATTATTAATAATCAATAACATAATCAATAACCATTTTCACTCGATAAATTCCGTGAAATAAATCCAAAATTAAATAGATAATTAACAAAGATTTTTAGAAAAGAAAGAGAAATAAAATTGATTTGGTAATTCGGGATTAATACGAAATCATTAGTAAAACGTTTTTATAAAAATTGTGGAATGCGTGATGATATAAATATAAATGGTGAAATAAATGGATGAGTGGAATTTTTAAAGGAGATATTCTCACGGAATTATGAATAATACATCTGATATTTGTAAAAAATATTCTCACGGAAAAGACATTAAGATCAGCGAATGTAAATGGGGAGGGGAAATCGACGTGTGGAAAATAATACCCGCTTTCCACACATACCGGTTAGTGCGTAGCAAGTCATCTGATATGCATATAAAACGATACAACGCAAGCAAACTTGTTTGATATGCCTTCAAAGATGTAGTTCTTTTTTTTTTAACAAGACAAATGGATGCGACGGGAATAAAAAAAACAATTTCGTAACAATTACGGGGGATTATATTGAATTTTCACGTCAGGAATGGAGTATTAGAGAAAATAGAATAATTTCTTTCGCTCTTTTCTTTTTACTCTGGTTCGAATCCCAGAATTTAGGGAAATAAATCAGCGGAAATTAAATCAATCCTATTCAGGTGCGATAAATTGACTTTATGAATAATCGGAATTTAAAGTAGATTTTAATTAATTCGGTTTGATCCAAAATTTTATTTTATATATGGAGAAAGAGCGGCGATTTTTGAAAGTTGATTATTCGTTTTTAGGACAGCCGCGATGAATGCGATTTCATGGAATTTCTTTATTTTTTATTTTTTTGAATGAATTCATCAGAAATTTCTGGTTTTTTTAGGGGGGAAATGGGAAATCTGGAGTTTTGGTTTATTTTTATGGAAATTTTCGGAATTGTCAATGCGAAGATGGTCTGAAATTTCCCGGGAATTGTGACGCGATGAAAATAGTCGGACTCCTCGGAAAATGGAGAAAAAATTTTTGAACAGTATAATCGGAAGTGTTGGAGAATGTATGTCGATGTCTCCTGGTCACTTGTTATTTGAAGAGAGCTTTCACCGCAGATCAAGAAAGAAAGCGCGTTGTCTCCTTGGCAAGTGCCTTGGCAAAGTGAAATGAGATTTTTCCCATCGTCAACTGCACCTGAGAATAAACGCAATTAAGGGAAAAATGGAGAGAAATCTGTCGTAAATCGCGCACTTACCATTACCCAAAATTCCAATCCATTATTGATTCAATTTGAGGGATTGCAAATTGTTACTTTCATTGGGGAAATGATTACCAACAATTTTACCCATAATTTACGGTAATTTTCTATAATTTCATGGAGTGGAAATCAATTGTTCGGCAAAAAATCGGCAGTTACTATTTTTCTCAGTTAAAAAGTGGAGATATATTTGCAGATTTAAAATAAAATATCGGGTAATACAGAGTTTTTTACTTGAAATATAAAGAATGATTTTCTGAGGGTGGACCAAAGCAACAAAATCAACTAGTCACTTATTAATCGCTATTCTGGATGTGTTCACACGGCATTGTAAAGTAATGGAAGCGCTTGCACGCAACGAATACGTGACGTCCGGCCTCACCCCGTATATGCATATTTTAAATAAAAAAAAACTATGTAAGAAAAGAGTTATTACCACGAAAGGGACTCCCCGAAAGTGATGAAGTGTTGTGGAAGAAAAATAGCGCCGATCGCGCGAGAGACTAATCGAAGGTACCATTTCTCATATTCACCGATTTATCTCGAGAACTATTCATTTACGGTACAAACGCCAAAGAACTTTTTTTTTAGCCAATTAAATTCCCGAGAAAAAATGTCCTTTTATATTTACATCTTAAATCAATACTTTCCTTTAAAATCAGCTCGATCTGAAGTGATGAAAAAATGATGGTAGCTCAACATTTTCGCTGATGATAGATTTATCTCGAAAGCTATCGATTCAAGGTGGAAGTGGTAAGGACCTTTTTTGTAGCTAACTCAATTTCCAAGAAAAACTGTCTCTTTACGTTTTCTCCTAAAATCACTAGTTCTCGAGATTATGATGTTTAACAAACCGATTTTCGTTTGTACAATGAAGACGTCCCGAAGAAAAATTGAAGACAAATAATGAAAAAAAAAACTAATTCAATCACACGAGATAATTAATAATTAATTGACTATCTGAACCGAAGGATTGTGAATTAATATATCAACAAAAATATATGGGCGGTGTAAAGACGAATGACGATAAAACGATCGAAAATACTAAAACGCTCACAAATTATGAAAAATTGATAAAGCATGCGGTTTCATTTCTCATGTCATGCTGGAATTGTTGATAATTATCTTCTCCCCGATGAAATAGGCATACAATAGGCACGTGATGGAATCCCCCATGGAATGAATTGATAAGTCGAACCGATTTCTCGCGGACATCTCTCTCTCTCTGAGTTTAATGCACCAGCGTTTATAACCCACCAATGGGTAACAGAAAAGATGTATAGAAAAGAGGAGCCCAATACCAGTGGCATGACTTCCTCGTTCCATTATTGCATTCACCCTCTAGCTCGTGCTTCAGGTTTTATCTCTGGAGATCGCCGACATACGCACACACGTGCAAAAGAGAAAAGGGGAAGGGAATAAATCGAATACCAAGAATTTCACAAGATTGACGACGCTCCAGTCATCATATATCACGTTATTTTACAGAAGGCAATACCCACTATGACTTCCATATTCAAACCTTTCGTTTTGTTGATCGCTGATTAATTCTAGCGTTCATGAATTAAAAATTCCATAAAAAACAAACATTTCCGACAATTCCAGGTACTCCTCACGATTCTGAATTAAATCTAAGCGATAATAATTCTGGGGCTATAAAAGAACTCTATCACTGAAATGATTAATAAAATGACACCGGGAAATTAAAAAAAGAAATTAAGATTTCCATATATCATTGTTTATTAAATCAACAGTGCATTTAATATAATATCCACAACAGAAGAACAATCTGCGTATAAAAACGGAATGAACTGTACGTAGAAAAAATTAAACAGCGAAATTCCTGCGCTTTCTCTGAGGGATTCCCACAATTCAATGGAATTCCTTACAGAAAATACCGGATTTTTCTGTTAATCTTTCTCGTACGAATTGATGAATTGGCTACTTAAAAATATTCTTATAATGATAAACAATACTGAAAGGTGCTCTTAATGATAAAAAGGTGTCAGGACAGTTCATCCTTTGATTTCGTCGTGAGACATTCCATCCGAGACTTTACGATCCTGAGAAAAATCTAAAGTTATTGAGTTATTAAATTTCATTGCAATTTTTTTATGACGCTTTCATCAACATTTTTTATTAATTCCCGTGGTGTTCATCAGTATCGAAGTTTATGGTTTATCTTCGGAGAGTGTGAGATACGATTTGTGCGTTTACCGTAGGGAATTGTCGGGTTTTTCAGCGGTGGGGATAATCCGTTGGTTGTGGTATTTATTTTTCAACGGCTAGTTCAATTCAATGGAATCTCTGTGGATTTTTTTGGTGGAAAAACTCGATAAATTTGTATCCCCTTCGGCTGGGATGAAATGTCTCGAGATAAAATGGAAAGGACGAAACGGAATTTAATCCACTGAAACCAGAAAATAGTGCACCCAGTGTTCACAGCACCGTGCAACGAAAAAAAAAGAAACACTTTCAACGGATGAGTATCCCCTAAAGAGTGTATTAAATAATTTGTACATTCATGGCACTGCCTCAACAAATATCAATTCGATCTAGTGTAAAAAAGGATTGACAGAGAAAAAAGAACTCAACCCTGAAGAGATGCCATTCACATAAATTTTCCTCCGAAAAAAATTCCTTTTTCTCTGCATTAATAATCACAATTGCTCATCGAGGATGACAATAACGGAAAGATGGGATGAACAACTAAAATGATAACTGATTAATTAGAGAAAGTCCTCAGTGGAGGTGACAGTGGCCTCGATCAACAATCCGAAATCCAATTCTGTGAGACTAGCTTTGGCTGTCAGTAGATCCAGAAATGTATCGAGAGGTGAGAGACGATCGGCCGATGGAAATGCAGCTAGACCATTATGACGATGACAATGCTGTGATGTTCTACCTCGATTTTGACAGATCTCCCCGGAGAGGATGTTGGTCGCGTGCTCTCGTGCTCGCAGCATAAAACTTACGGGATGGAGCCACTGATTGAGCAATCGTTTCGCTCGAGATCGCGGCAGCAATGAGAGCAAATGGAGTTTCTTTATGACATTCTCTTTAGTGTCTCCGATATCTGAAAAAAAACAGAACCATTTTGCCCTCAGACCGGGAAAAATACGCAAGCATAAGGAAAACAGTTCTCAAAATCCAGATTAGCCACCAAATGATACATTCTTAATCTTCAATGAATCCCTGAATCCTTACCTGCAATGATGATCTTGGTGACATCGACCTGGAGTTCAAAGACAGCCCTCTCGACATACTGCAAGAACATGGAGTACCTCAGACTCCTGTAACCGAGATACGTGAAGAACGAGGAGAAACCCTGGGGCACAGGAAACGCCATGATCTCAATGGCATACCGATACCTCTCCATCAGCGTGAACATCAGAGCCCTCCGTCCCTCATCCATCTGATCAATCAACAAAAATCCTCTCTCCTGGTCAATCCTGGGATCAACTCCAGCTGCTCTTGATAAAATTTGACAGAGAATCCTTGAGCTCTCAAGCTGTGCAGCGACATATCTCGTCGCCATGGCATGCACCTGAAGACTAGTGCAAGAAACGTACGAACTAGCTGGTGTATTAGTCGCATGTTTCAACAGATACATCGACAGCTCCCGCAGATTGACAGACACCACGTGCTCCATCCTGGAAGCCGTGCAGTTCTCCATTTCAACGAAAGGAAGTGCAGCATCCAACATTTTGTTAGCTCTGTTAGACATGAGGTGTTCCCCCAGGGCAGCCGATGCATTTCCCAAATTAGAAGCGAATGCAGTTCCCGATGAAGTCGCAAGGACAAGTCCTCCAGAGGGTGACATAGGTGTGCTACACCTGGAAAGTGCCTCTGGCTGATAACAAGCGAGTGAAACGAGTAGCTTATCAGTGATTTGACTGGGATTAAACCTCGGCTTGCTCTCACTTCGCTTTCCCAAATTGTCCCAGAGTTTCGTCCACAGATCACTCCTGTAAGGGACAATCCTCTGCTGGGGTGACAAAAGCATCACCGAAGTATTCCACAGCTTCTCGTGACTCAGTGTGATCCCCAGACCGTTGATCTTCACTTCGTACGACGTGTAATCCTTGACAGTCGTTATCGGTAGTAACGACAGCAGAGGAACAGCATCTGCTAGTAAATTCCTCTGGACAATTGAGTATGATCCACCAATCAGCACTTCCTGCATGAACTGTACGACATTAAGAGACTTGGGCTTATCAGATATGATAGCTACGAGATTTGCGACGGTCTCAAAGTCGTGTCTGTGACACATGAAGTAGTGGATGACTCCTAGTCTACCCTGAACCGAGGTTTCCCTGGTGAAGGTGTCGATGAGAAATTCCGGGGAGATATCTAAGGTGACTAGATCCAGGGTCGGAAGATCGATGGTCAAAGCATTGGCAATGGGATGAGTATGCTCGTCTCTTAGGAACTTCTTGCCTCTTGTGTTCTGAGTGGTCGAAGGATTCAGGAGGGGAACGAGATAGGAAGAACCTTCAGGAATAGTCTTAAGAGGTCCACAGAGTACGTGACAACTCGGATCGTGACTCACACCGATCTCCAGGAGATGAGTGAATGCTCCTTGAACCAGGACAATCATGTAATCATCAGCAATTGAGAAAGTCGGTCTCATGAGCTTTGCCTGACACCACGGGATCCCTGGGATTACGCAGTGGATGACGCAGCTGTGATGCAAAAGGGTGACGGAATATGCGAAGTGAACGGTGTTTGAGTCATTGAGGATGGCGTCCAGCAGGTGTTGGGGTGGCTGAACAGGTCGATAGAGGTAGTGATGGCAAACGCAGACGAGACCCCGAGTGTCCGATATAACGATAAGATCGAGGGAGCAATCGTGAACGCGCAGGGGAATCACATCATCCTCGTAGGTTCCACAGGAGCCGGAGGTCGAGAGCTGGGGAAGAGTCAGGGGAATGTTGAGGACGGTTTCGTGAGGGAGTTCGTCGTGAAACTGGAGACCACTGAGGGTCGGCGAGGCTGAGGGCCTCGGACGCGACTCCAGGTCGTCCTCCTCCAGGATTCCACTCGCCTGAGGCCGACGCGTGTGAATGTGATATAGCACTTGACTCGTTGAGTCCCACTGGGCCCAAACGAATGCCCCGACTATTGTCTCAGATTTCAAGGAAACGATCGACTCGATCGGTTCAATTGACTCGATCTCTGGAGCCGGACAGAATGTCGCGGTGTACATTGTTATCGTCTCGTGGTGAACGAGCACCAGGAACTTGTCCGCGGAACTCTTCTCCTGCGGCTTTTGCCGGTACAGAAATTGAATTCGGACTTGTTTCGCGGTCTTGGGGAGTAGACAGTGAATTTTTTTTGAGGGGAGCTCCAGCAGGTGCGGCTGATAGACCTGGTGATCGGGATTTTCAGAGGTTGAGGGCGATTTTACGATGTAACCTAGGAGTGTATGGCTCTGGTTTAGCGAGGCTTGGACGATATTTAAGGACGTGGGGAAGTGGTGGAGGATTTTTAACCTGTCGATGGTGCGATCGTAGTGACCGATCACTGAATGAGCACTCGAACTTTCGTCCATCCAACCCACCAGGAGTGAGCAGTCTCGCTCCTGCCCCAGGAGTTTCCATTGCTCCGCTATGAAAAAAATACCCGGTGTCAGTCGGAGGTTTTAAATTCCACTGTGAGTATTTAATTCTTTTTGATTTCGGGTCGCGAAAAGTCGGGGAATTTCGCGTATTTGAATCGATATTTTTGTTTACCATTTTACTGAGTGGAAATGATGATAGCTAAATCTCTCGGAAAATTTCGATTCGCGGGTTTTTATAGAACATCAAAATAAGTATAAATATTGATTTTTTTTAAATGTTCCACGAGGGCAGATGGCGCTTATCGTTATCGGGGTGGCCTTGCGCTTAATTACAGGCGAATGGTGATGAGTAATGAAGTTGTTGTACTTTCGAATTATCGGGCATTTATAGTATTTTATTACAACGTTTTACTTTTTAAAATCGTAGAAAACCCTCGGGAATTCGATTAACAATTCTATTCGATTTACATTGAACTTCCCATTATTTTTTTTCTTCACTTATTCTATAAAAATCCCTGAATATTTCAGGCTAAAAATCGAATTTTAATACTAATGAATAAAATTAATGGTAGATCGAACAGTTTTTCATCCTCGACATCTCAAGACGAAAAAAGAAATAAAAAGTAAAGAACTCCCACAGTAAATTCCTCAAAACTGGAAACGGAGGATCATAAAAATTCCTCATCCCTAAGATCTAAGAGGCCCCAAGAAAACCCATCATTTAGAGACGACTCTCTACTTGATAAATTTAATTGTCAATAACTCGGGAACCGCCGACTGGATTTCCGCATTGTTTTTACATTCTCGGAATTTCCCCTAAAGGAAATCCTCATAAAACTTTTATCTCTAGTTTTTTCAAAAAATTCAGACAAAAAAATTGCCACAGAATTTCGTCAAGAGATATCGACGGTCAAACAGCCATTCAATTATCACTAACTTATTAACAACAACATCAATGAAAAAAATATTTTTATTTACTGTCTCTCCTATAAAAATTATCGCAAGTAAAATCGGAGTCCGCGTTATTTTGAGCTTTAAAAGGCGCAAAAAAAAACAGATTTGTCCAATTATTTAAAACTTTCGGCTCCTTTTCTCGGGAATAACCACAAATTAACTAAAACCGTACCTTTGACATCATCCCCCTGTATGAGGGCACAAAGTTTGGCAGCAAGATTCTCGGCCATGTCACAAATTATCTAAGAATCCTGCAAAATTCCCGAAAAATCTCAACCCCAAGTGAAAAATCCCCAGTGAAAGTGAATTCGATCCATAATACCACCATCCACTACTGTAAAAATCACTGGAAATCCAACTGGATTGTCAACAGTCGATCAGATGTTCTGACGATCTCTCTGTCTCCCTCTGAGACCACGTGAGCTCGTGTGTTTTCAAAAATTCCCGCTGGCGCCACTGTACGCCGCTTCGTGAGTTATCGCTGGTGTTCGGTGTCAGCCATTTCTATTCTCATTTTCTGTTGAACGTGCGATGCAATTCGGTGAAGATTTTTGTTCGCAAAACAGTTGGTGTTTCAAGTGAGGTCTTACGACCACGAGTGACGATAATTTACCAATAAACATTGAACAATGCACACGGTTATGGAAGCTGAAACGAGCGTCCCGGCTTTTCTCGGGAAACTCTGGCGACTAGTCGAGGATCCAGAGACCGACGACCTTATTTGCTGGTCACCAGTGAGTTAAATCACATATTCTTGATTTATTAATGTCCACCTAAATTCCACTACCCCAGTAACACCTGCAATTGATATCTATCTCGGAGAATCAATCGATAAAAAAAAAACATTCGTCTTGGCGTTCAAGTCAACATGCGTCATTATTTTCATTTTTAATTTTTCTCAACTCATGTTCAATCGACGATAATATCGCTTTGGCTGAGTCGAATTCGATGATTGTGTTTTTGTTTTAAAGGATTATTCTCAGAAATTACCGTGAAACATGACTCGTGTAAATGGTATTATTTGCTTGCGAGATATTTGAGGGAATATTGGTGTCAGTTTGTATCCAGCATTTAGGGTGAAATGAGGTGTTTCGGTCGGTTGTAAATCGGGATTGGCTGAGTCAAATCTATTAGTTTTTTTATATTTTGAAGGGTGGGTTTTGTGGATTAAAATGATTCTTTATTTGTCCGATTCGCAGTGTTGGGACCAGAAATATCCGGGAAAAAGTGTTGTTTGTCGATATTTACCTAGACGTTTGGTCAACGTTGGCGTAACGTTTTATTTTGTTTGGGGTGTGATTTTTTTTTCGAACATGAGAAACTTTCGACGTACGACGCACTAATAGAGAAGAATGGGAGGAATATGTTGGAGGATGGAAATTTCCTCTGTTGAGTGCTGGAGTTTGAGGTATTGTTGTGGATTTTCAAGGGGGTTATGGGGATTGTTTTCGTTTTTGGGGATTCGAAGGGCCCAGAACAGGTGGGGGTTTTGTTTTTTAACTTTTTTGAAAGGTCCAAGGGTGGGAGTTGATACGGTGGAATGCGAGGTACTGATGCTTAGGTAATCAATCAATTGAAAACTCGTTGTTTCTTATGAAATACCCGTTTTAGAGTTATGTAATGGTGATTTAATCAATAATTGTATCAGGGTAATTTTAATTAGAATAATTGGAGAAAAAATAGGGAAAAAAAGAGACATACAACGTAGTGGTCACGAAAAAAAAATCCTGGGTGAACTTTGTTACCGACTTGTAATTCAGATTTAAAAGCAAATTAAGAAATTTATTATTCACTTGTTGAATGGCTCATTATCTCGGCCGTGGGGGGTGTGAGAGGGAAATAAGAAAGGAATTTTCTGTGGGGAATTCAATTCTCTACAAAAAAGATCTTACAATCTTTTCTTTTAGGGTTACTCATTTCTGAGATAATCGCCCATTGAGCAATTCTCTTAAACATGGAAAATTTCGTCATTCTGATTTTAACGTTTCTATTATTTTGGAATATATCTTGGAAAGGAGAGGTTTTAAGGGAAAAAGTTAGGGGAATATTTTGTATAAAATTAAATTCTGAAGAAAAAAGGTTATGTTAAATATCATTATAAATCCCGTCGGTCTTGAGATAACGAGAGATTACCACCGAACGGTTTTTTTCGTTTGTAGAATGGCCGGAGTTTTTTCATCCGCAATCCCTCACAATTCGCTCGAGAATTGCTGCCTCACTACTACAAACACAACAACATGGCCAGTTTCGTGAGGCAATTGAATATGTGTATGTACAAATCATCGAGACTAAAGTACCAATAAATACAGTACAAGTGAATGAATAAAGAATCACATTTGTTACAGATGGTTTTCATAAGAAAGTGTCAGTGGAGCTCGGTGGACTCAAATGTGACAGGGATGAAATGGAATTTGCACACCAGTACTTTATCAAGGATAATTCATACCTGCTGGAACACATCAAACGCAAGGTACTGATAAATTCATTCAAATAACTCAAAAAATAATTCAACTAAACCCTCACAATGACGGAAATGAAAGGGATACGGTAATAATGGATTTATCTTGAAAGCTATTGATTAGAAAAAAAAATACCAAGAGATCTTTTTGATCGGAAATTCAATCAGCTACAACAAAGTCCTTTACCGTTTTCACTGGAAATCGATAGTTTTTGAGATAAATTAATGTAACTGCACCCGACTTATGCCGAGAAAAGTTAATCAATTTTCAAGTGAATTTTGTCTTCAATTGTTTTAAATTTGGATTATCAGTATTAGTAGCATATCTACGACTATTCGTGCTGAACATAATGGTATCTGCTATCAATTCATGAATCGATAAATTTTCGATTCATTCATGAATTCTCTTGTACTCAGCACAAAGAATTTTACATTTGATAAATTTCAATAGAAAATTGAAAAGGTTTAGGTATCGTGCGCTATTGAAGTGCGATTTCTCATACCTCAGATATCGATTATCAAGACATGCAGTAAGTCAATAGTAAAAGGACATAAGTGCCAAAAATGGAATAAAATGAAACAATAATTTTAATTAAGATTTTTTATTTAGAATCAAAATAAATCGGGAGAATAAATAAATCGGAGAAATAAATATTTTTTTTCTGTGGGAAAATTCCCAAAATGATAATATCCCGGAAATTAATTGCACAGATTGCGAATAAACCCCAGGAGAGCTGTCCCTCAGTTAAATCCGAGATGATGACTAAAGTGTTGAGTGAAGTCCGGACTATGAGGGGCAGACAGGAGCATTTGGATACTCGGTTGGGTGCGATGAAACGAGAAAATGAGGCGCTGTGGAGGGAACTCGCAATGTTGAGGCGAAAGCATCTGAAGCAGCAGGAAATTGTTAACAAATTAATTCATTTTCTGGTGACCCTGGTGCAGCCTGGAAGAGGTGGTGGCCTCTCCGTCAAGAGGAGATATCCTCTGATGATTGATGATCACCAGAGGATCAAACATCGAAAGATGTCGAAGGTATTTAAATGATTTTTGGATATCCTAGACCAGGAAAATCCACAGACTCAATTGTTATGAGTGTTTTGCCATTTAATTCTGACAATTGGTTTCTGTATTTGAATTTCAGCCGGAAGCCTCACCCACTGGACCCACAATTCACGAACTAGATGGAGAACATGAACAGGATCTAGATTCTGAATACATTGTGGCTGAGTAAGTATTCAAATTCGTTTATTTTCCCGTTTACCAATGATTTTGCTGCGACAAAACGTGATGTATCTCGCAAACCAAGCGGTCTATCAAAGAAATCATTAAAAGATTATATGCGGAAAATAAGATTTCCCACAAAAAGTTTATATACCATTTTCTTATTGACTCAATGGTTCGTGAGATATTCCACTTATTATTGGATGGAAGAATTATAAATCTTCAATAATTGTTTCAGAATATTGGAGAATCACACTCCAGCGATCCAGAGTCCAGCATCGATCGATTCTCCTCTGGACGAGGACAACGCGGAGACCGTTTACCACATCGCCGACGAGACCGTCGACAGGGAAATTCAACTCCTCGAGGCACAGGAAGCGGCCGCCAAAAACCTCAACATCAAACCCAAACCCAAGTGAGTGATCTCCGATAATATTCCGATCGTTTCATCGTTTCGCCCTGGTCTCGTATTTGAAGGATTTTTTTTATCAACTATCACTCCATTAATTTAGTTTCATGCATGTCGAATATCTAATTAAACCCGTAACTACTCGCTTTAGACATTCACTCCTCCAAATATTATCCTTTAGTTAAAATTTCTCCGAGGATTTGTTGTGGATTCGCGCGTGAATTTTCTTTCTTTCGTAGTGGCAAAAAATAATTGAATTTTCCCATTGTTTTTTATCGAGCAAAAATTTAGTTGATTGTCATGGATTAATTTTTGTCGTTGATACTGGTGTCTAATAAGTAATAATAAGTACTGAAGTACTTTCAATTACCAAATGTAAATGCAAATCGTTTGAATATTGCCAGGAGGAAAAACAAGATGCCTGTCAAAATTCTGATACCGTCAACGCAAGCTGGGGAGGAACCGAGGTTATCATTTTAATTCATATTTCCGTTCTGTCATGTTGTCTCGATATTCTTTTCTATTTTAGCTTAAAAATTCTCTCGTTATGATTGTTCATTTTTGGTTGTTCGCATTGTTATTCAGCAGTTGTTATTGTAGGTGATCTTTCATAATTTCATTATTCAGGATTGTGCATGATATCGGTTGTTGTCGAATTTTGTCTATTAGTGGTTTATTCAAGGTATTTCATTCTTCGGAATTCACCTTTGGGTTGACGTTGGGACGTTCGGTTTTGGGACACCCTATATATGGGTGTGGAGTAAAACATTTTCTGACCAAATGTCGTTTTATATTATTATAGATATTATTATAATCACATGAGTTAGAAAATAATTTGGCACTGTGGCACGCGGTATTTTATTCTCGCTTCGTTCGGTTAGATATCACTTTTCAGTGCCTAGGGGAATATAGTATATTTCACGCCTAGGACGGAAAAAGGGAATCTGACGAATGCGACTTTATAGTCCGAGTCGGAGACGAGGATTATAACGCGCATGAGTCAGAATTACTTTTTTCGCCGTGGCTATGATGCTATTTTATGTTATTGTGGCCGAAAGCGTTTAACCTCGCTTCGCTCGGATAAAAACGCGTTTTACCGGCCGCAATGACATAAAAGTTTTTTTCACTCGGCCGAAAAGAATTTATGTGACGATTAGGTTTGTATTCTTCGGCTTTGCCTCGAACTATAATCTCACAATTGTCATAAAAATTCATTCAATTGTGTTCGTTCAAAAATGTATCCGTTTAGCTGCATATACTCGTATAGTCTCATTTTCTTATTCATTTTTTGCATGAGAATCTGTAGATTTAATTTTGACAAAAAAAAATGAATATTCATTTTCTTTAAATTCCCCGCAATTCCGCATTCGCATGGCCTCAAATATTTAAAAACTTATCGTCCAACTAATCGTCATAGAAATAAAAATTGACTAGAGAAAAATCAGTAGTCGAGTGGTAAACTAGGATAATTACATTTTCTTTGGCTGTTTTCGGCGGATTCTCGGAATTGAAGGACGATACCGATAAACGGAGACAAAAATACAGGAAAATTTATCTGACTAGTTACGTGATGAGACCTAGAGTAAACGTCATCACAAAAATATTTGTATCTCCCGTTAATTCTGATATAATTCTTCGAAAATAGAATGCATTTATCCTCGTTCACTCGGCAACAGCGAATAAAACCTCAAATATTAAAAAATCCAAGAAATGATAGAATACGTAGAATAAAATCAAGACCGGCAAAAATCGCTGTCTCGATTTATAGGCAAGAAACATTATTGCTCGAAGTGAATGATGAGGATACAGACTTGCCCGTTGCACTTCTGGAGAAGAAGACGAAGGAAAAACCGAAGGCAGTCCCATCGAAGACAGTGAGAAGCTCTAAATTGACAGCTATGGCAGCTAATATCAACAAACTCAACTCTGGAGATGACTCCGATGATGTCGAGGACTCGAGGGAGAAGTCTGAGGATCTGAATGATGGCTTGATCATTTCGGATGTGAAATCACAGGAGTCCAAGCTGACGGAGAAAAATGGTGGCGGATCTGGGGATCAGGGACAGGCAGCGCTTGAAGTGAATCCTGGATCCAGTGATAAGCGTAAAGATTTGTCGTTGAGTCGAGTCAGTCCTTCGGGAACGACTGATAACAACTACAGGTTAGGATCGATGTAAGTTCATGTTGGACCATGGGTTTTCACCAGAGCACGGGTGTTGATTAATCGAGAGCGATTTTTTTTCTCTTGTGATTTGTACGTTATTTTTTTTTTTCGAAATTGATATTTTTGAGATTTTTTCCTCGGGATTTTTTTTACTATTCAGTGAATATTTCTGGTTCTGACGTGAAACTTTTGGAGTTCAATTTTCATCTCGAGAATTTTATTTTCGATCGAACATTCGAAATTTTTGAGCTTTGAGAAGGAAAAAATAGGGAATGAGAAAAAAAGAAAATGATGAGTGGAGAATTTTGAATAGTTAGTTACTTTGGAAATTGTGGAATTATCATTGAGAGAGTTTCGCGTCTTGAACATTAGCTTGTTGAGTGGTCGTTGAATTAAGTAGAATTTTTTTGTAATTGAGGCAGAATTGAATTTTAATAGGTAAATTATTTGTTTTTGGTATTCACATTTTTTTTTAATTCAGGGAGGAGATGGATAATCATCTTGAAACCATGCAGAATGAGTTGGACAATTTGCGGGATATTCTCCGGGGTGAAGGGTACAGCATCGATGCTAATACATTGCTAGGGGTGAGTAGATCATAATACTATAATTATAAAAATATAAATTCCTAGTTTATAAAAAAATTGAGATGAAAAAGCATTCGATTGTGAAATTATCATTTATTCGGTGTGGAATATTAAATAATTTGTGATTTTTTCGGTCTGTTTCTATAGCTTTTTGGTGGTGATGATCCCATGTCATTTGGCATTCCAATGAATCCTGAACTGGACCCAACGCAACAAGACAGGGATGACGACGGTGAACTCTCCGGTGAGTCCCTCATTCATAACAATATTTAATAAAATTGTCGAGATTTGGCCATTACGTTGCTCTACCGCGTTGCTTTTGTGTTATGGGTTTTGCGATGCTGAACGCGCGCTCTAAATTTTGAAAATCGTGGTTGATAATTTAAAAATTAATTGAGTTCTGAATTAAAATTAGTCGCCTCAAACGAACAAACCAATGAGGAATAAGCTTGACAGTTTCGAAATATCGATAGTCTCGATGTGTGTCGTTTTTATAACTAGCACTGTTTAGAGGCGCGGTACGTAAAACGTTTATAAATTTTTATTTGCTGTCTTTAATTCAATGACGAAACAAAAATATTTTCATGGATTTTCGAAAAAAAAAATATTTTCCTCGATTTTCAAAAAAAAATTAATTTTCATCTCTCAATTGAATTCAATATTTTTTCGGACTCAGAGAGGTCCGCTACTTGAAACTCACGAGTTTTTCATCCATTTTCAAAAAAAAAATATATTTTCATCGATTTTCAAAAAAAAAAAATATTTTCATCGATTTTCGAAAAAAAAAAATATTTTCATCTCTCAATTGAATTCAATATTTTTTCTGACTCATAAAGAGGTCCGCTTCTTAGAACTCACGGGTATTCCCGGAGGTTTTCGAAAAAATTTATTTTCATCCATTTTCGAAAAAATTTATTTTCATCCATTTTCGAAAAAAAAATATTTTCATCGATTTTCGAAAAAAAAATATTTTCATCGATTTTCGAAAAAAAAATATTTTTTATCGCTTTTCAAAAAATAATATATTTTCATCGACTTTCGAATAAAATGAATTTTCATCTCTCAATGGAATTCAATCGTTCTTTGAACTGATCGAGAGGTCCGCTACTCAGAACTCACGAGTTTACCCGAAAATTTTCAAAAAAATTCATTTTTATCGATTTTCGAAAAAAAAATATTTTTATCGATTTAAAAAAAAAATGTCATCGATTTTCGAAAAAAAAAAAATTTTCATCTCTCAATTGAATTCAATCGTTTTTAGAACTGATAGAGCGGTCCGCTACTCAGAACTTACGAGTTTTCCCGAGAATTTTCAAAAAAGTTTATTTTCATCCATTTTCGAAAAAAAAATATTTTCATCGATTTTCGAAAAAACATTTTTTTTTTCTCTCAATTGAATTCAATTTTTTTTTGGACTAATGGAGAGGTCCACTACTCAGAACTCATGAGTTTTTCCGGGAATTTTCACGAGTTATATCGACTTAAATTTGTCATGCGCCAAATTTTTCATCTTTCCGAAATTGATCAGCAAGAATGACTGCATATGCCATCTTATACCTTAAATGTCATTTTTTTGAATGTGCAGATGGGAACAATTGCCTGAGTGGTGGTGAATTAATGGCGTACAATCCATCGTCGAATCTTTTAGACTTTGACGATGACATTTTCTTGGGGTCAAATCCCGCAAACAGCCCGGGAATTCAACCGACTTCTCCAAATCTATACAGTCCTAATGACCTACAGGATATTGACGATAACAAAGCGGGTGTTCTCGAAGCTTTAGTCCGGAGTCATGGAAATTCATCGACCACTTCGTAGATCATTCGTCATTGGTGAGTCTTGTTCAATCATAGTCGGTGGAGTTGGTAGTTTTTTCATTTAGTTAGTGGGTAATTTGGAGTACGTAAAATCCATTGTGATAGGAGTAGCTTTACAACATTTTGTCAGATTTCAACATATTGTTGCACTCATTGTTCCGTTTTTTGTTTACGCGCCTCAAATTCCCGTACGCATAAAAATCCTAGGATTTTTGCATTTTTTTTGAGCAATTTTTTTTGTTCATTTTACTTCATTTCGATTTTTGGAAAATTCAGATGTTATGGAAAAACTGAATGAAAAAACCAATTTTTTAATTTTTTGTTCAAAAATTCGGGAAAATATTCATAAAAAGACTGAACATCCGCCATTTTAGAAAGATATAAAATATCTCAGACTAAAGAAAATAAATTTTTCGAGAGTAATAACTCATGTAACAATAGAATTATCCGAGATATTAATTATTTCCGTTACACTGAAATTTTATTTGTTGCTCATTGAAAAACACAAAAAAAAAAAATTTTGATCAATCTTAAAAAAATTCTGTAATTTTTTAAAAATCTATAAGTAAAAACAAATAATTTTTTGTGGACTGATGTAACAATATAATTGTTATCTCTGATTGGACGAATAAATTGATGAAAATAAATTAAACAAGAGTGAATGTTTTAATTTTTTTCCATAAATTCACTAATTAATTTCATCATTACTTGCGTTAGGTCTTGATTGCAATTAATTCTCTCTTTTATTAGAGCTATTTTAATGACTTCTCTCTCGAAAAATAAACAAATTGATAAAAATTCAATGGCAAGTAGTAAAAACTTAAACGAGTTATGAATATTTTCTATTTTTAGCCTTGGAAGACATAACTGGATAATCTAGGCGATGAAAATATACATTAGGAATGTATTTTGAAAAAAAAAAATTGAAGATGACGATTTTTAACGAAGTTGAAGAGTCCATTAATGACTGATTAATCAGTTGATTGATAACAGATAAGCACATAATCACGATAATACTGTAGGCATACAAATAATAATGGGCAGTTTAAATCTAAGATTTTTAGATTATCATTAAGTGCATGTCAAAATCAAATGAAATACGAATGAAAAGTTAATAGAGAATATTGGAAACTTGAGCGCTAAATTCATTAATGACATTTGATCGTCAGCATGTTTGAGACATGCTGAATTATCAATTTTTTTTTTTTATCTAAAGAGACTTTTAACTTGGCATTGTAAATAATCTGGATAATTATCCCAAAAATTCATATACGAGTGATTAATGATAGAAAAATGTATCAATTGCTCCATTTTTCTTGTCCCTCATTGCGATAAACGATAAATTATCACTGAAATTTACTAACAACATCTTGAAAATACTTTAATTACTGTTTTCTCGATTGATTTATTGAAATTTCCTTCGTAATTCAGCTCTGAAAGGGATTGGGTATTTTTACGATGCGTAAACCGCATTCAACTCTCAAATTCAAGACAAAGAATTTTTACAATTAAATCATAATCATTCGCTCATTGAAATGATAGGTTTAATTATTTTTATTACTTATTTTTGATTACATTTCTTATTGGGAAGGTACCTCTGCGTTTATTTTATATTAATCATAAATAATTCTTCGGTTTGGTTTGATTATTTGGATAATGGGAGTTTGAAGAGGAGAGAAAGAAGAATTGAGTACATGTAATAACTCTCAAATAAATTAAACACAGTGTTTGATCATAAAAATAGATTTTTCACTGGGTTTTGAGTGGGATTACCACACCAACTGAATTAAATAATAATTAATCAATGAATATCTCCCATTACTCATTTGAATTCACGTTTATCTCCGTAATGGTGCTGTATCTATTATATTCTATCTATTTTTCACGATAACTTAGCGATAAGGCAGCAGTTTGAAATTATTTTAACCCAGATAAAGAGTCAAATACATTGATTGTCATCCGTTCAGGATATGATTGGAATAAATACTTGAGCCCGCAGATAGTAACTGGAGATAAATTAGAAATAATTAAGACTGTTTGGTACTCTTTAACGTTCAGGAGGCAGCTTTTGATAAATGACAAAACTAAGAGTTAAAATTGAAAAAGAAAAAAGGAAATTATGAGTATCTTACAACGTCATGTCCTGAACCCCTCCATTGTAAATAATTATAATAATTATTAGTGGACAGATTAAACTTTGGATGTATTAAATGGTAGATTAAATTGACAAACTCTGTAAAAATGATAATATATTAATTCTATTCTTATTGGCATTGAAATTGTAACAAGTCGGTTCTAGAGTTTGTTCTTTACTATTGAATACCAATTGCTTATGAGTTTTAATATTCATTCTTGGTTCAGCAATAGTTTTTTGAGAGTCTCAGAAGCCGAATAAAGAATGAATAATAATCTATTAGGATTAAATGATACGAGTCCCCCCAATTGACCGAACTATGTAAACATTACGCTGTTACATTTATGTATAAATACAGCTGATAAGGGATGGGCATTTAATGTTATTGGTTCCTCCGCTCTTCGATTGTGAGTGCTGTCGGATGCACAATTTTAGAATTGAAATTCCACCGATGGATTATCTACACAGGAGGGGAGAGATGGGGATATCCCGGGAAGAAGGATCTCCTATTGTTTCGAGTATTCCACGTGGACGCGATGAAGAAGGCCCTCGAGTCCGACCGAGGTTATTGCTTTACAGGAACGAACGTCGAGGTACTGTAAACTCTTGCCATTCATTTTTATCGAGTCTAACGCGTGGTCAGTTACTTCAAAACATTCCTACAATTAAAAAAAAATTTATTATTTTTTTAATTGGTTTATTTATTTTTTTTTCAGAATTGCCCACCTGCAAATGCAGGCGCTTCAATCTGTGCAGTCTCTCCACGATGTACTGAATGCAAATATCAGTGACATGAATACACCCCGATAAATTGAGATCCTCGATGGCTCTGTTGTTTCTCGTTAAATGATCCAGCCCGACGTGCGTTATCTGGATAACAAACGGGATGACAATACCAAAACATTAGCATATAAAAATCATTCACATCTCTAGTATACAATTTCATGATTTCAAAGTGATCTGAAAATTGGAAATACTTTTTTAATGATTGAAAACTCGAGGTCAGTGACAAAATTAGCCCCCATATTGATTATACCCCTTCCCTGATTTTTTCTTGAACATCTATTCAAATTATTTAGCACCTTCAGATAATTTCGAACTCATTCCACAGTATTTTTGGGACATGAAGAATTTCGATCTGAAAATTGGTTTTTCAATTTGTGAATCTTTTACGGTGAGAACACAAATTAAAAGACCGAAAACGGTGAGACAGAAGAAGGGATGAATCTACATTACCTGTGTACACCAACCGAGATTAAGTACCCTCAACTCTGGGAACGTGAAGACATTTTTCAAGCTGACATCAGTGACGTTACTGCACTTGGAGAGATCGAGTTCCCTGAGACCCCTGAGCCTCAGCAACGAGTAACCAGGAGGAATATCAATCTTGCGACTCGAACTGGCGATCTCCTCTTCAGCCATAGAGCCCAGACGGATCCCGAACCTGGTTATAGTGATTCCTTGAATCATGGCGAAGGGAGATGGAGGAGTACGCGTGATTGGATTATCCATAGCCCCGGCACCCATACCAGTCAGACCAGCATCGCTGACTCTATCACACTTAGTGATCTTCAGCGTTCTTATCGCAGTCAACTCCTTAAAGATTATCTGAATAGTTCTATCAGTCACTCCATATGCATTGAGGCAGTACCCGAGATCCAGATACTTGAGTTGCTTGAAGCTAGCAGCAATGCACTCAATGGTCTCCTCGTTGAGGCGCAGGGACTGCAGAGAGAGAATCTCAAGATTCTCATCGAAACTGTCCTGCTTCATCTCCACCTGATGAATATTCTCCAGGGCAGAATTCGAATGGACATTCGCGCAATCCCAGATTTGTTTCTCATCTTCCGATTCGGCTGGATTGTATTTGCAGAGAGCATCAGTGACGCCTGCACTGGACAAGAGAGGGCATCCAGAAATGTCCAGCTCCTTGAGCTTCTTCAGGCGCCTGATCTGATAGATTCCAGAATCGGTGACGACCATGCATTTGCTGATATTCAGGCTCTCCAGGTTATCGAGATTCTGGCAGATGTACAGAAGACTGGCATCTGTTACTTGTACGGAAAAGCTCAGGTCGAGGATCTTCAGGGACTTCTGGTGAACAAGTGTCCGGAGACCGGGGTCGCACAGTTGATTGCAGCACTTCAACTTCAGGGAGTACAACTGTAGGTCCTCGACAGCGACCAGACTGCTAAGTGCTGTGTTGTCTATCAGTGTAGAATCGAAGTCCAAGTGCTTCAGAGTTTTTGCCTGCTTTTTTATGTACTCCAGGATGTTGAAGAATGTCAGGACAGACTCTGAGCCCTGGTCCAGGGTGTTTTTCGGGTAGAACTTCTTGTAGATACCGGGATGGAAGGATATCTGACAGTCTCTGAGACTAAGTGTTCTCAGGTTGGGGCAGATGGAGATTAAACGATTGAAGAGGGCGTCGCTGAGATATCTGTTGGAGGCCAGGCTCAGTTCCACCAGGGATTTTAAATTGTTCGAGATTTCCTTTGAGTCATTCACGTTGTCCAGAAGTCGTCCAGACATCAGACAATCTCGACACGTATCGATGTGCAGTGTCTGCAGATTCTTACAGGACTTGAGAATGTGCACTAGTGTTTTCTCACTCAATTCACAGGACATCTGAAGATTATTATCGCGTCAAAAAAATTACACTGACATCGTTCACTACTCTAGATTCTCCTGGAATCAACCCAAGGGGAGGTAAGAAAGGCAAACTATTTTTACAACCATTTGAAATTCCGAGGTGAGTGACAGTCCAGCCGCCATAGATATGGCATGCGCATGCGCTAATTAAAAAAAAAATAAATAAATTGAACAAAAATGAAAGAATAGAAAATTCAAACAAAAAAATTAAAATTGATTGAGTTTTCACTAGCGAATTTATAACGGATTGAGTAAAAAAAAAAATAATAAGATTCCTATAAAAGACGTTTGATGTTTATTGAATTTTCATTCGTAAATTATGAAGAAAGGGAAACAAAAAACGGCATTTGCCACATCAATGAATAAAATCGAATTAAAAATTAAAAAAAAAATGCGACGCGAATAAAAAATCAAGTCTCAATATTACCATAATCAAACTGCGCATAATAGCTCCAAATTTACTCCAGATGGGAAACGAGTCTTTAACTTCAACTCCCTTGAAGGTAAAGTGATAAAATGGCCTGTTGGAAACTGATAGTGTATCCATGACTTTTCGAAGAGTCTCTTCGCAACTTATAATGAGTGCCTGATGATTAACAAATTTGGCACAAACCGACGCCTCGTGCCATTGCTTGCACACGCGTCCAGCTGATATTCGATCCGACACTGACAGACACGACATTACGTGCATTAGGACCTGTCAATTAAAAAATCATCGCAAATTATCACAGGAGTGGATGACTCGACGATCCGTGCCTTCTCCATTGATGAATCATCTTTCGGAAGGAACGCAATTCTCCGCGAGGTAAATATAAGGCACATAATTATTGTTATTGTTAATTCAGTTTTGAGGGTTTATTTGATGTTAATTAATTACCTCCATTGGTAATTGTGGATTTTCAAGGTGCGTCTCCTCCATCACTTCATTGTCGCCAGACGTTGCCATTGCTGCCTCAGATGACCGCGGAAGATTATCAGTTATCGAAAACGTGACTGAATCTCGTGAGGAAGATGTTACATTATCGGAGGTACTCAATAACTAGACGGGACGTATCTACTGAATCTCAACAGATGGACGACAGATCTCGGAGGTATAGTAATTCTGTTTAGGTTTACTGTATTATTAATTATTCTGGGTTAGAACTAAGTATTTATTACCTAACTCAGGAAATACAAAAGATAACGTGCTCTTAATGTGGAATAATTATAGGAATATATATATGCGTATGCGCGCCAAAGCCGGGGTGTAACGACTATCACTATAGGAAGGAAACTACCGAAGCTTTTCAGTCTTGTCGGGGAGTTAGTTCCTGTTTCCGACGTTGGTGCTTGGGTGGTGGAGCCATGGCAGATCTCGGTGATACCGACTGCCTAGCCGCCACAGAGAACTGGAACTTGTTGACTGCAGCGCCCGAGGCAGTAGAGAAATTCTCTAAAGGTAAGTCAATTCCAATTGCATTTTTATAAACTATTTTGATCGAGTACAAAGTCTTTTTTGAGACTTGAGGCCCGGATGGAGGGAATTTTTTCGCGATTGACAACTTTACGCCCTCCTGCTCCGCGGACAAAATCCGAACCTTGATCTCAAGCGATGCCTTGTCGCTAACTACGGCAATCGCTGGAAACAAGGGCAACGAGACGCGACGAGACGCATCGATTTCATGTACCGAAAAGTCGATTTTCGCGATTTTTTTTTTTTTTTAGAAAAACTCGATTTTCTCGCGTTCTATGCGTCCTAGCGCAAAAATACGCCCAGATTCGTAATCAGCGCGACGAGACGCATCGATTTC